CTCACATGCCGCTTCCACAGCCCTTCAGTCCAGAATCACATTCCCAAGCGCTCTCTCTTCCTTTATCCTGTTTTAATTTTGTCATGATGCAACCAACATGATGCAAACCTGACATTACGATAATGGTTTATCTGCCATCTGCCCATTTCCCTCGTGAGGATATGAGCCCCACAGGCCAAGCGTTTGGTTTTGTTCACACTGTATTCGTGACGCTCCGCGTGGCACCTGCCATATCGTCCTTGCTCATCAGCAGCATGTCAGATAAATGAATAAGCAGTAAAATGACCCTCTAAGACTAGTTAAAGCAATGCAGCCATGTTAAAACCTGATATTTAAAAAGTGAAATCACATTGAGCCAGTTGAAGATAATTTTCACGGGGTGCTTTTAGGAAATAATGAGGAGGTAGTCACGTGAGACTAGAACCACGAACTCCTCCAAATCGATTCTTTTCCCAGCATTTATAATATCTGCTTGAGACATTCAGTCTCTACGTTTGACAAGGGGTCTGTTTCTTATACAAAGATAAGATGCAGAGATATTCCAATAAATCTCTCCCTCACACAAAAAAGTTATATGGCAAAATCTAATTCAACATTACTTTAACAATGTTTTCCCATGGTAGTATCATAAAAGTTCATCAAGCAGCTTTCGCTCCAATTTTATAAAATTCTAATGTGTGTTCATGATTATTCCTGAATGAAGTGTTTAAAAAGCAGCTGGGATGAGAAAATTGAACGATACAATAGCAAACTAGACCTACTGGTGGCAGAGGTATGTGGGCTCCTTCACGCTTCCACTACTTACCATCCTTTATTTTATTTTTTTTAATATATCTTTATTGATTTCAGAGAGAGGAAGGAAGAGGGAGAGAGAGATAGAAACATCAATGATGAGAGAGTCATTGATCAAGCCCACAACCCGGGCATGTGCCCTGACCGGGAATCGAACCCCGATCGCCTGGATCCTAGGTCGACACTCAACCGCTGAGCCACGCTCGGCCGGGCTTACCATCCTTTAGACCAAAAGCAAGTTCCAGAACCTTTCTCAGCTCCTCTTACATAAACTGGGCAATGCCACCTACCCAACAGGATACCGGTGGCTATAACATCTCACACAGAGTGTTATTACACAATTCATTTCACTTGAGTTAATGCCTGCTGTGATCCAAATCACATCCCCTAAAATATAAAATGTTCATTTCATCAAGCAGATCCTCTGTCCTATTTCTCTGGGGACTTCTGTGACCTCGTGCGCATAAGAGAAGATATGATGCAAACAGAGAGCTTATCTGTAAGACTGGCAGAGAGTCACGAAAATAATCAGAAATATGTACTGAGCATCTACCTAATCTAGTGTCCCACTGAGTGGTCCAGCTTACAGAGTGTACACTCCTGACCATGAACACTTTGCCTGGCTCAATAGATGCCTTCTGAATGTCTGTCAAAAGACAAATTAATGAACTAACTAACAAACGCAGTGATTGAATTGTTAATGTATCTGAGTAGATGTTCTAACTAGCAGAGGAAGTGTTCCTGAGAGGAATCGATGCAGTCTCCATGGTGAGACTGGGCTAAGAACCCTAGTCTGGCCCTTTTACTCTCAGTCCATGAGCAGCAGTTGGCATAATGCCGTAAACACAGCAAGCCGAGCTAAGGACAACCTTCCTTCCACCTGACCCCAGCCCTGGCCCCAATAAGGTCTTCTTTTACCCACAATTAATCTAGCAACTCGCAGGTGAATCTGAAATCATTTTTATTTTTATGATACATTATTAAAATATTCAAAATAATTCTATTATAATTCTAAGCCTCACTAATTCATATGAGTGTAAGCAGAAGTTTGGTCACAGAAAGCTACTGATTGTTTTTACAGGTTTATTATCACTCTAAACTATGGACAATAAATAACAAAACAGTGTCCTTTGAATCTTTCCAAGGGGGAAAATGACTGCTAGCATCTGGCTCGCCATTTGGAGTTGGAAATATCTTTACAGATATATTTATCTTATTTAATTGTCAAAGCAACCTTTTGAGATAAGGTTTATTACAATTTCATTTCATTTTAGAGATGGGGTAATATGGTTCAAAGACATTAAGTAACTTGCCCAAGGACATGCAACCAGGACATGAAAGACCTGCTTTCAAACCCTGTGTTCTTTCATCTACACCATTTAATATAGCAGTTAACTGAAGTGATCTGATGAAGAGGAAAGAGCACGAGATGAGGAGGGAGGGGCCCCCACAAAGGCACTGCATGGTCAGAGGCATGCTATTCAACACGGTGTATCACCCCACAGTAAATTTTCTCTCCCCAAAACAGGACCTCAAGCCAGCCAACCTCACAGTTTTCTGCCGAAACTGAAACCAAAGGATGTAAGGGCACTTTGAAAGGTCAAGACCTCTCTGCAGGGAAAAACACATGTAAAACTTTATATAATTCTGATGACTAGGAGTTTGACCTTTGCCAATCCCCCTGAAGTTGTACTAAAGATTCCTGTTTGGTCGGTAAAACCATTTTTCACAAATAATGCAACAGGCAATGTTGAGCTTTGTCTACCCACAAATTTGTGTCATTCAACGTACACTGAGAGAATCATTCATCGTGAAACTTATTTTAATATATAGCACACATAAAAATTTTCCAGCGTCACAGTACTATTTATTTTCTAAAAGCTATCATCTTTGAATATCATTATGCAAATAATTTAATACTAATTTATCAACATAAACTCCCTTCCCAAGTATATACAGGGTGGGACAAAAGTAGGTTTACAGTTGTTCATATGGAAATTAATACAATAATTAATAATAATATAAGAATAAACTCTGTTTCCTGTACTCACAACTGTAAACCTACTTTTACCCCACACCATATTTAAATACACCCAAATCCTACTCAGGTGAAAATGGCCTTAATTTAGTATAAAATAGCTACTGCCTAAAATAGACCACCTCTCAGAAAAAGATATAATTATGTACCTTGGTGGATCAGATTACAAATCAGGCACCTGGAATAAAAAATGGTCCTGTTATCTAAATAGGTTATCCTCGCTAGGCAAGCACAAAAATTCAGGAAAGATGGACATAAAGTGCTGAGAACAGGCCCCTTGTGTAGCCACCAAATTAATCATGAAGACCAACAGTGCAACAGATGTCATGACCAGATTTCCCTCATCCTAATTCAAATGTCTTCTATATGAAAATGTCCTGGTTATTAAAGTTCCTTAAGATCAGAGTGGGGAATGATGAAATGGAATGAGAAATTGTGGAATAAGAACCTCTAAGAAAGTCATCCCTCCACAAAAGCAGTAAAAAATCATTGGCAAAAATTGTCAAAATTAACCTTTTCAGAACTCTGGAAATTAATCAAAGGCTTACAACAAACTGAAAGGTATTTATTCAACAAAAATGGCTGGATTTCAGTAAGCACAGTGAGATTTGTGGTGTCTGAACTTTCCCTGTTCCCATGCCCATCTCCTCATCACTGTGGTAGCCTTGAAAACCGAAAATTCCACAATCACAGGGAAATCTGGCAGCTAGCCACCCACCCTATTGCAAAGTCAATGACTCACATCCATACAGGCACAGAACTTTGCTCAGAATTTTAGTGCCCCACTCTTATAGCTGAATGGACAGCAGAGGATCACCAATCACTTGAGAAAGGTCTCTGAGATCAAAGACAACGACCAAAACAACCAACCAGAAAAAATGGACTCAGAGACATTGTAGATTATATAAGGAAACCCCAAAAAGCTCCCATTAAAATCTTTAGAAAGGACATTGCACGAGGAACCAAGAGCTGAAGGGATAGAAAACAATAAAAATAACATTCACCCCTGGGAAAATGCTGTTGCAACTTACTAAGTGAAATCAGAAATGAAAAATTTATTAGAGGAGCTGGAGATCAAGTGGAATGAATCCCGCAAAAAGCAGAACAAACGGATGAGGAAACAGATGTAAAAATTTAAAAATGGGGATTGATCCCAGAGTTCTTAGATGCTAATGATAAGAATTCCAGATAAGGAGACAGAAGATGGGAGCAATTAATGATCAAAGAAGCCCTAGAATCACAGACCACACACCTCGGTTTTGACCAGGCATGTCACTGATGACTTCCACAGTTACTTTAAACAGACACAGGAAGATCCAACACCGGGGTCTCTGAAGAGAAACTCTTTTTTTTTAAATTTGCCTTTATTGTTGAAAGAATTACAGATGTCCCCTGTTTTTCCCCATTGACCCCTTCTACCTCGATCTCCCCCGCAGGCCTTCACCACACTATTGTCTGTGTCCGTGGGTTATGCATATAAGCATGTAAGTTCTTTGGTTAATCTCTCCCCCACCCACTCCCTCACCCCTCTTCCCTCTGAGATTCGTCAGTCTGTTCCCTGCTTCTATGTCACTGAATCTATTTTGTTAATCAGTTTATTTTGTTCTTTAGATTCCACACATAAGTGAGAATATTATGCTAAGTGAAGATAAACTCTTACTACTCGGCTCAGAGAAATTTTAAAAAATCAGATCCTCAGCATAAATAAGGGACTTTTCTGGATTCTGAAATGCCGATAAATTCCTGCTTTTATAATGTATATTTCTGTCAAGTAATTATAAGTTAAACATCTTCCATGCATTAAAAGAGATTCCTGTGTTAAAGAAATAAAAACCAGATTTTTTTTTATTGGGAGTATATTCAGGTAATGCTTACAATAACCAAGGGACTGTCTGAATTCTGTCCCAGAAGTTTATTTTATTGGCTTTTTAAAATAAGTAGTTCATGAAGATTAGAAACGTCTATTTTCTTAGATCTCAGTTAATCTTACACTTATTTGCACAGGTTTAGGCTTTATTCCCCGGTTCTTTCTCTTTCAGCGTCTTAAATACAAAAGCTCTAACAATATTAGCAATGGTGAATTTAATGAATAATGAACTCGAGCTTTGAGAATTGAGATTACCCTACATTTTCAACGACTTCCCTTTCATCCTGAGGGCCCCACACTCACCTTGAGGGTCAACATCTTTAGCCAGCTTCAGCGCGTCGGAGTTTGCAAGGTCAGTGTTGGCGGGGGTGACGGCCAGAATGAGACAGTTCTCCCTCGTGATGAACTGCATGATCATCTCCCTGATCTGGTGCTCAATATCCACCGGCTGGTCTCCCACGGGCACCTTAGTAATCCCGGGCAAGTCGATCAGGGTGAGGTTCAACACTGCGTGGAAAGGAAAAGGAGCCTTACATGTCCCTCCAATGCTAAAAAATACCAACAGTGCAGAATCTCCTGTCACTTTCTTGGAAATGGAAAAAGCTCAGCTTTATAGATGATGCATCCAAATAACCCCAACTCAGGGGTGTAGATAAAAAGCAAAGAACAGGAAACGGCTTTGCAAGTTTTCATCATTTTTATGATATGACGGTGCTGTGCCAAATGGTCATCTTCACATAATTTGAAAGGCACTGATCTGCACATCTGACAGTTTTCTCAGAGAGCTGTCAGGTACATAACTGAGGGGTTATAAGTAAAAACCGGTAAGATGTCCAGACACTGGCTGCCAGTCTCAAGCAGGACACTACCTTCAAACAGTGTCAGGTTCTCAGGGTAAGATTTGTCCGTCCCTTTATAGCATCGCATGTTATTTACAGGGGGTTAGCCACTTAGCCTATTGGAAAGCTGTTAGCCACTCACGGTGCCATGAGATTGCCGTGGGGGCCAGTCACACAGAGCAGCATTTGGGAGAGCAGGAAACTACCCCTGACTCGGTGACTCCAGCCCCGACCTGGCTATTGCTCTCTCTTTGTATGAAAGAGTGTTGGCTCCAACTCTTCCTGGGACATCGTAACTGAGCTCATTTCATCTGGGTTCCATTTGAAAAGCAACAGAGCTGGATGGGAAGTTACAGGTTAAAATCGACCCTGCTAAAAATGTAGTCTAAATAGGGGCTATTCCACATCCCACAACCTAGTCGGTTGTCTAGACCATAAGTTGCTGCTGATAGTCTGGAAAACAAATTGCATTTGACTGCTCAGGAAGAAAATGAAGAGAACACTCCAGGCTGCAAGAAAGTCCAATAGGGAAGACCCAACTACAGTACCAAGCACCGCTAAGATTTTTGCAAAGAATGAAGACATTGGAAAGTGGAAGTTTTCATGCATCCCTCTTAGGAATTCTAAAAGTTTAAAATAAACATGAAGAAATTACTTACTTGATTCTGATCTTTTAAAAAGTCACCTCCTCCTGCCTCCCCATAAATAAATCTATGAGCTCTTTGGACCACAGCATTTACGGCCGTATCCAAACACTATCCTAGGAACCCAGTACTTTTTGCGAGAACAAACCATTTTCTATACAAAATAATGCCTGCTAATTAATGTTGTCAAAATTTCTGAGGACAAGAATTTGGAATGTTGTCACTTTACTTACCATGCGGGGAATAGACACGTAAGTTAATGGGTATGGAGGAGATGCCTTTATTCATTCCTGTCACTCGGTCTGTTTCTGCTTCAATCTCATGGCGAACTTCATCAAAATCTGTAAATTTTTTTCCTTTGCAATGTAGAAATTCAGCATATTCTACAAAAAGACAAATTAATACAACCCAAAATCATCCACTCTTGCAATAATTATAAGGAAACAATGTTTTTTTATTACAAGTCACAGTATCCAATACTGTTGCTTAAATCATCAAAATGGGAGCACAAACAAACACAGTTAATGCTGTAGAAATATTAAGCACAGCACAAATGCTAAGGATGTTAAATTTGCTAATGTTCACATAAGCAATTAAGTACGATAAGCAGTCCTTAAACATGCTAGCCTATTAAATAATTTAAAGAGAATTTGGGTCCCTGAAATGACCAAAAAAAACACAACAGCATCTGACTGTCAAAGAAATTAGATGGAGGGCACACACAAAGCCCATCTACTAATCCTATTAGCAATCCTTGTCCAATATCAACATTTTATTATGATGGAATGCTAAGTTATATAAATACAGCTTCAGAAGGCAAGAAGATTTAAAAACAAAATATGCTTAATTCTTTAAAAAGAAAAAAATACGTGGCATAATGTAGCTTTATAACATACTATTCAAAATACCACCCCAACTTCTGTAATTTTTTTGTTATTGTTGTTAATCACCCCCCAAGGATATTTTTTCCATTGCTTTTCAAAGAGAGTGGAATGGAGGGAAGGAAGAGGAGAGAGGGAGAGAGAGAGAGAGCGAGAGGGAGGAACATCAACGTGAGAGAGACACATGGATTGGTTGCCTCCCGCATGCGCCCAGCCCAGTCCTGGCCCTCCCTTGCTAGTCTGATCTCTGCTTGGGCCTCCTGGTGGCAGTACACATTGCCCAGGCCCACCCCAGCTCCTCCGGACTGGGAAGGCCACAGGCTGCAGAAGTGGACCAATGAGTTTCCGCTTTAACTTACCGAGCACTGTAACGACCCAACCATTGGAAAGTTTGACTGACAGGCAGAGACTATAATTAATTTCTGTCTCTCCTGTCAATGGGCATGAATGTTTCTATCTTCGTTTCTCCATATCATTACGTGTGCATTTTCTGAAAAACGGCACACTGAGACTCCGAGAGCTCACTGCCCAATGGTGGAGACTTGCTCAACATTAAAGCCTTTAGTAGGCTTCGGAAGTCTGGTCTTAAGAAGTTACTGCATCCCTTGGCAAGCTTTTCACACATCTACCCTCATAGGGGCTATTTTTATTAGGATGTAAATTCTCAGAAGATAGAGCCTGTATTTACCCGCTCAATGGCTAGGTCAGCACCATGTGAATGCCAGAGTTTAAAATAAGTAGAGGGTAAAATAATAGGAAAAATAAAGAGGAACCAAAGACGGCAAATCCCAGAAAACAAAAATTAATAAGTATAAATGAGTCATAAATAATTTAGAAGAAATGGAAGTGTACTTTCTAGATCAATATACTCTGTGGTAAATGCACACTTAAGGGCTTGTGACGATCATAAGCATTACCTTCACAGAAGTAGTAAGCTTCTGAATCAGCGACTACATTTTCACCGATAATTTAAGTAACACAAACGTGATCTTCTCTTGTTGCCACTAGATGGCACCTACTTGCTTTCTCTGTAGGAAACGCAGGCCCTTCTAGAAGGCTGCAAAATCAATGCAATTTTCAAGTTAGATTTAAACTCATTCCTGGACTCCTGAAAATGCTTTTATCTTGGGATTGAGAGATGACGATTGTGCAGGACCATCTCAGACCTGTGGGTCTTTTTAAGGATAGGATACCACAGATAGATTTAGGGATGCCTGGATGTTTCACCTAATATTTATTGAGTTCCTACTTGCCAGGCAGGCACTGTTTTAGAAACTGAGGATGTAGCAGAGGGGGGAAAAATAAGTGTCTAGCCTCATGAAGCTTAAGTTCTAATGATGAGAAACAATAAACAATGTGTGTGAGTGCACCAGGCAATAAGTGCAATGGAGAAGATTGAGAGGTAAGGGGGGCCTTAAATGCTGGCGGAGAGGGGTGACTTTGTTACATGCTGTGGCTGAGGAAGGCTTCTCTGATATGATAAAATGACATTTGATCCAAGACTCAAGAGAGGAGGGAGCAAGCTGTGCTCTAAGTAAAACCATCCCGGCAGTGCCTGAAGCAGGCGGGCACTTGGCTTATGGCAAGAACAGCAAGGAGGCCGCTGTGCCAGGAGCACAGGGCACACAGAGGAGGAGGTATGAGATGAGGTCTGATCAGACCGCTTGAAGGGTATGGGACAGAGGGCAAACAAGGTGTGACCCAGGTTTTAAACAGGTAACTGTGGCTGCTGCGTTGAGAGCAGGCAATGAGGAGCAAAGGGGGCAGCTGGCTTTTGGGCAGCAATGATGGGGCTCCGGCCAGGGCGGCAGCCATGAGAGTGGGGAGTCCTGGTTAAATTCGAATGGATTTTGAAGGAAAAACCCAACAGGAGTCGCTGATGGATTAAAGGTGGACTACGGGAGGAAGGGAAGAGTCGAGGATAGCTTCAAGAAGCTTGACCTCAGCAAGGGGAAGAACTTTGAAACAGAAAAGACAAAAGTGAAGAGGCTGGAAGGCTGGGGGCTGGGAATCAGGAGCCCAGCTGGGGACCGGCGATGCCGTTGCACAGCCGCTCAGCGGAGAAACGGACTGCGGTTAATGCTTAGGGTCGTGCAGCTGTGCCACGCGCCATCTCATTCACAGACATCCGACAGGTGCACGTTTATTCCGAAAACTTCCCAGAAGGTGGCAGTGGAGTGCTTGAGGAAAAGGGCAGCTTTTTATAATTAGCACAAAATAAAATGCCTTCGGGGCTGGATATGTGAGAGCCACCTAGAGAGAAGTAAGACTAAGCTAGAGACATATCATTGGAATTCATTCAAGTCGGGCGAGTGGGTGAGATCACTGAGTGGGAGAGGGAGATGGGGAAGAGGTCAGAGTGCTGGGCCACATAGAAGGAAGGTGGTCAGCCAGATAGAAGGAAAACCAAGCTCGACAGGTGGCCCGAAGCCAAGAGAGCGTTTTCTGAGGGAAGGGGACCTTCCACTCCATCAAATGCAGCCCACGCGTCAGGTGAGATGGGAACTAAGAATGGGTCTTGGAGTTGGGCGACTTGAGGGTCCTTCAGCGGGTTCACAAGAGCTGTTACCGTGGCGTGGGGTGGACGACAGCCTGATTGGAACAGACTGAAGAGGGAATGGGAGGAGAGGGTGGGGAGACTGGTCACAGGCAATTCTTGAAATTCTTTCAAGGAGTTTTGTTGTAAAGGAGAGGGAAACAGTGGGAGGGCAGCTGTGCCCTTCCCCACAGATCTCGTCCTGGGCATCCCTTCCTTCTGGCTGTTCCCAAGTTGTAATCTTTTATAATAAACCAGTAATCTGGTAAGTAACATGTTTCCCTGAGTTCTGTAAGACACTCTAGCAAATTGATTGAACCCAAGAAGAAGGTCATGGGAGTCTCTGATTTATAGCCAGTCGGCCAGAAGTACAGGTGACCAACTGGACTTGCAATGGGCACCCTGAGTTGGGGGGGGATGAGCGCAACTGGAACCTCCAACTTGTAGCCAGTCTGTCAGAAGCCTGTGCTTGGGGCTGGTGGCTGAAATCAGGGTGGCAGGGAACAGAGAAGTCTTATAGGACTGGGCCCTCAACCTGTGTGGAATCTTACGCTACCTCTGGGTAAATAGTGTCAGAATTGAATTGGATTGTAGGACACCCAGTTGGTGTTGGAGAATGGCTTGTTGTGAGGACCCCAACCCCCACCACAGTGGAACTGGGCTCTAGGACCTAAAAAGGCTAGAACCACAGAATCCTTTTTCTATGGGTCCCAAGGAGCCTCCTGGGAAATAAAGTATCCTTCAAAACAGGCTGAACTAGCTGATCAATAGCTAGACTCTTCAAGAGCTAATAAATGTGTGTCTTCCGAGACTTTTATACTATGGTAAACTGTCATGTCTGAAGGTCTAACAAACCTCACCTGTGATTCTAAGATAAGTTCTTTCTCATAGAAAGGCACAGTTTCCAGTTTTAAAAAATGAGACTCCTGGTTTTAAAAATCTTCTCTGGTTCCCTCATGTTAAAAAGAACCTATATTCGAAGCAAAGATCGAGATACATTTTTATATCAAAGAATGATTATTTTGGGGGAAAGAGGATATTAGAAATTCAGAGCTATCACTCTATTTTATTTTTATTTCCCCTTAAAATATTGTAGCACTTTCATTTCCATGGGTCAGGAAAAACAAATTACACTGGGTTAAAAAACTGAGAAAGTGTTTGGGGGAAGGATGATATGGTTTATGCCTGGGCAGCGTTCCAGTCGTCCGTGAAAAGCACAGCGTGACCGTAAGAATTTAAATATTTCCAATATGCCCCTTCCCTGGGGAAAAACCATGCATATGTTTCAATTAATCAAGGGTAAGTAGACAGGAATTAATATGGAACACATGCATGAACCTCTCATCCACTTTTATTCTAAGAACTGGGGTCCCCAATACATTAGCTGGAGTCTCCTTTCTGAAATGATTTAAGAGCAGTGTTTTGTGAGCACAGGGCTCCAATGGAAATGGAGCACGTGGGCCACATGAACAGGAAGCAGCTTCCATGCAACGAGCCGGTTCGCTGCTAAGAGCATCTAGCTGTGAACACACTGAAGACAGACTTCCTCCCAGGCAGAGCTGACATCTGACCCAACTGGCGCTGATCACACTTAGAGTAAAGAATGTCCATGGATTTCTTGGTTCTTTAAAGCTGTCCACTCTGAAGCCACTGAGCAATCCCATCGTGCCCTCAAGCCGTTCCAAACTGAAGGCAAGGTCCTAGAGCTGAGGTTGAGGGAGCAGCAGGGCGAGGCAGGTATGACCCAGATATGGGGCGGAACTCAACTGTGCCGCTCAGGGAAACAGGAGAAAAGAGGGAATCTAAAGAAGCAAACAGTGTACCTGGGGGAGGAAGCCCAGCAGTGGGTGGAAGGTAGCAGTCTCGCTGGGGGGTGAAGAACAATGGGGCAGGTGGAAGGAGAGCCAGGACTTCACAGAGGACAAAAGGCAGGTGCCAGGAAGACAGCAGAGACTAGGGTTTACGA